ACACAAATTCACATCACAGTCACAGTCAGAACTTGTAAAAATACTATAGTGTAACATTTGTATGATGAAGTATGCATAAATTCACATCACATTCAATAGTCCAAACTTTATGTATAGTCATCTTATGGTCTTAAGAGCCCTTTTCGGGACACCAGGTCATAGTTAGCAAAACCGAGACATTTGACAATCCTTTAATTGATAAAATTAATTGATAATGATTGTAGAAAGTCAATGCTCCCTACTTCTACTTTGACCACCTAAACTACCAACTACGATTAGCAATATGTGGGATTGTGTGTTGTGCCATGCTAATTTACCAAACACATATTAATCAACACAAAGTACAATAACACATAATAGCAAGTTTTAATACATTTCACCCAGCATATTTATATCACACTTTGATGATTTATTCACTAATCTCTAAGTGTGTTAAATATTAAATGATCTCAAAGAGTTTTACCATAGAGTAAGCATACACAATGAAATCTACCATAAAATAAGATAAATACATTTGGAACCATTATTACACTCATGTTGCCGGGCATGAACTCACTAACTCATGTAAAAATGAGTTTCATATTTTAACAGTAGGATAGGAAGACTAACTACAATATTCAGTGATTGGTTCTGGTTATTTGTAACTATTGTTTCTATATTGGATGAATCATTGCAATATACTAGTTCAACCTGACTGACCCCTCTCTATGAATTCCCTAATGACCATGTTACCTCTGATGATCACTCTTGCTTTCTTGATATTTCTACCATAGAACTTTCACATTCTGATTCATCATTAGGTCTCTATGGAAATACCCACCTCTATATTTACACCCTCAGGTATATAGCACAATATCAACTTCCTTTGTTACTGAATTCTGTAATTTAGCATGGTCTCATTGTTTTTACGTATATGAAATACATAAATTATGTTCATACAGTAATATAGACCTATAGTTTCCAGTTAATAATATAAATGTTGTATCTCTATGTTTCAAATGCTATGCAATTAATAATTTAATCATCTGTTAGTTCAAAAATGTGATTCAAATCAATGTAAATAAACTAGTGACAAAATAAAGCTCATTTTTCAACTTACATTTATTTAACCATTTATTTCAATATATAAACTTACAATACATAACAGTAAAATAAACAAAAAAATGGCTTATTTTGTAATTTATATGTTTTTGGAAATGAGTAAAGAACAACAGAGCTTGTAAGGTACAATACCAATGAGGGATGACAATGCATTACGTTGTATTGGTTTTCCAGGTTATTGTTTAACAAGAAACTCCTTCTCATATCGATTGCTCAACAAATAAAATCTTTATCCACCACTTTCATGGTCTTCGTTTTACCACTTTAACTAAATCGATATGTCTCAATGTAAATGGCATCCCTACTATGATTAATTCCTGTAAACACAATGCATATCTATAAACTTACCCAAAACGATCCCAATAATTATAGCAACTTTCATTGCTCACCAAAATGCAATTGTTTGTAGCTACCCTTCACAATTACTTTCTCTTCTTTGCATAAAGTAGTTTTCATCTTTATTTTGTCTTTTCATCGAAGAGTACATTCACTACAAGTGTCTTATATATACAAACAATTTATGTACGATATTCCAAGTAAAGGTTGTTCCAGCCTAGAAGTATAAAACACGGTCGGGGCCTTTAGAGTTTGCATTTTCATCTATTTTTTTATTGTAGTCTGAGGCTCTGGCTGGATATCTCATCATGATTGTAGAAAGTCAATGCTCCCTACTTCAACTTTGGCCACCTAAACTACCAACTACAATTAGCAAGATGTGGGATTGTGTGTTGTGCCAAACACATATTAATCAGCACAAAGTACAATAACACATAATAGTTCAATGGATCTATGCTGATACTAGTGATAGGGGTTGAGCTCATCACAGCCCAAACTTTCAATCAAAGAGGCATCGCATCCGACATTAACTTTAAGTCCTAAACTGAATATTATATTTTGCTTACATTCAGAGAGAAACTGAATACCATCTAGCATGCCTTACTAATCTTAGGAATGAGCTGGTCACAACTAAAAAGAGAACCCAGTCTTTGCACCACACATAAACTGTACGCAATTCATCACTTGGGACGAGAAGCAAGCCTACAACAATACTGTGGAGCAAGACTAATTTTAAATAGCAATTCCTAGTCCTCACATAAGGTTAAATATAATTTCGGCACGAAATATTTGCCTGATTCCTCGGTAATACATGTTTCAAGATCCTAAAATAGTTGAGTAAAAAACATATTTTTTTCAATTTTTTACAAATATTTAGTTCAGACAAGGAAAAATCCACCAGAGGTCTCAAGACTACGTGTTTCTTGCCATTTAAAGGGATTCCAGCAACACATTATATTTATAAATATTTCAAACCAACTGGTACAAAACTCACATGATACAGAGATTAATGGGGATTGGAAATATTTTTGGAGTTGGACATTATTTGTATAGAAATATATAGAGAATGAGCATGATTTTTAAAAAGTGGCTTAACATCTCCCCATGTTATTCTCATAGGTAAAACATAAAAAAAACACCTCTTTGCCCTATTCTATCTATTGGATTGAGATACGGCAAAACAGTAAATAAACATTTAGGCACATTACATTGAATTCAATTTTTGGTAAAAAAACAATAATACAGGATACAAATTTAAAAATCTAAAATTTATATGAGTACCATTTGGTAAATAAATTAAATGGTTCCATTTGTATGACAATGTATTATAACATAATATCAGTGTTGGAAATGGTTACAAACTCCATGCATTACTGGTGTGACTTTATCGTTTTAAAATACTTATTTAAAAAAAAAACTGCTTGAGATACGGCAAAACAGTAAATAAAGATTTAGGCACACTACATTGGTTTCAACTTTTGATAAAAAAACAATAATACAACATAAAAATCAAATAGTATTTTAACATTATTTTAAATGAGTACAAATAAATCAAACAGTTATCATGAAAATGTTATAAGTCTATACTTGATTCCATTATTTTAAAAGTCCATTATAAATGTTCTAAATTTGTAATTTAATCACCAGAGGTTCCAATAACTCAAAATTTTATATTTTTTTATATGAGTACAAATAAATCAAACTGTTTTCATTTGTATGCCAATGCATTGTAATATAATATCAGCATTAGTAAATATAGGTCTCCTTTATTGTTTAAAAGTTCTTATATCTCAAAAAGGCTTGATATAAAACAAAACGGCTAAAATTCCAGCCTAGTACATGGGTTTCAACATAATAATACAGCATAAAAAGTTAAACAATTTTAAACCATTTACCAGTTTCTTTTGTATGTGAATATGTTATAATATAATTTCAACAATGACAATGGTTTCAAACTCCAGGTGTTGCCAGCACGGCAGTGTCGGGGGCGTGATGATGTTCAAAGTGATGCGCCTCCTAGTCCTATCACTTACACATTGGTCTAGCTTCTAATAAAAATATTTATAGCATGAAATTTATATATTAAAATTCTACATGAACTACTGTTTAATACAATATAAATATAATTTAATTTGTGCTAGTGTGTAATTATTAATTAAGGAAAATATAAAAAGGTTACTCTAAGTAAACATGAAAAAGTAAGTAAGCGAGGATTTTTTTTATTTTTTGGTCAGAGAAAAACTGTCAGTGGGAAAAGTATAGATGATTAGATGTTACTCAATTTTTGTTTCAAACATTTTTTCATAAGACTTTTAGTTTGTCATCGCTGGGGATCGGAAGTGTGCCTATGGGTTAGGAGCACGCCCGAGTTCGCGTGCCGAGAGCCGGGTCTTTAAAAAAGTGGCCAAAAAAATGAGCCATTTTCCAGGCTTGTTTTTTCAGTATTAATAACATTTTTTCACCAAAAAATGCCCCCATATAGCCTCTAAAACGCCAAAAATGGGGTAAAACCATCATATTTTACCTATTTGGGGTGTTTTTTCGCCAACAAATTTCAAAAGTCCTGAGTCCAAAAACGCCGAAAGTGAGGTAAAACCCTCATATTATATCTACTCTAATGTAACTGAAAATTCACCAGTTTTACCAAAGAGGTCAGGGGAGTATTTTAAAAAGGCATTGATAAGAATTCCAAGCCAGTCTCAGAAGTGTAATGGATAAAAATAGTTAGTTTACTTTTTCACTCTCCCAAACTGGAAGCAATAATAGAAAAGTAATACAGTGATTTTGTTATTTCTAAAAGTAAAAATAAAGTTATTTATTCAAAATTCTAAATATGATTTACCTAGTAAAATTATGGTTTTTAAAATACAGGGATCAGTTTGAAAAGATTAACACCGAAGTATCCTTGTCAAAAAGGCTTTCAAATACATAGAAGAGAAATCGCAACTCTCCAAATCGGCGACTATCCAAATTGCTTAAAAATGTTAAATATATCCTATGATTGTGTTGATTCCATCATCCTCTCCCGCGGTCACAGAAAATCATAATCGTACTCTGAAATCGCTGCAAATGCGTAAATTTTCAGATCACGAAATCGTTGCAGACGCGTTCTGCAATCGCAGTAGTAAAAGTTCAGCATGGCTCTGCCTACTTTCTTTAAAAATACTCTGAATTTCAATAAAAAATCCAATCATCCAAATTTTATATCATCCGAACGGGGTCCTGTCCTGATTGATTCGGATAATTGGAGTTCTATTGTAGTTTCGTTCAAAAGTAATTCTTAGGTTGCAGCACATTTCTGGTATATTTATTATCAGATGTTTTTGTTGAGTTGTACTCCCTTAGATAGTTAAAGCTGGAAATGGAGTTAAAGACGTATATAGTAGAAAGTCATCGCGAAGAATAAATCCTCCCAAAAGACTTGACTTATAAGTGAAGAAGGGAGATGACATATGACTATAAGTGGTAGTTTGGTTATGTTTTGCATCCAATTTATCAGCTGTTGGAGCTCGTTAAGATTGGTGAGCTAACATAGTTTGATTCATTAACTATGTCCGTTCCAGGAGTTACTTCAGTTTATCCGAGAGGAGTTGCTAGGCAACCAGAAGCAGCACGAGGAGCGTTACGACCCGTCCCGGCCACCTTACGAGGCCTACAGCATAGACTACGACCTGTTCCACACGTTGTTTGTCGGCATCTCTCCCTGGGGCAAAGGCACTCGCCCTGACGACCTGTCTGCCCGTCTGTTTAGGGTAATGTCTTGTGTCAACTTAGAATTACTTTTCTGTCACAAATCGAGCAGAGCTGGTGAATCAGGTGATATTGTAATATTGTCATATCATAAAAAAAAAACGAACTGTCTGCCTGTCTGTTTAGGGTAATGGCTTGTGTCAACTTAGAATTTTTTGAAAATGGGATGAAATACTACTTTTCAGTCACAAATTGAGCAGAGCTGGTGAATCAGGTGATATTGTAATATTGTCATATCATAAAAAAAATGATCTAAAACTACTATTTTTGGAAGGGCCATTTAAAGAATCTTTCCTTCATTTCTCATTTTATCATAGTAAAGTTTATCATATGATTATTGCTACGATGGTTTAAAAAATACACCTGTCAAGTATTAATAAAATTATTTTTGAGCGAAGCTCTTAGCTTTTATACTACACTTCTGCTTTTGTTTTACAAATACTCCTCCTGAACGGCTGAAGCGATGCACATGAAATTAAGCACAGTCAAAGTAACCAACTATGTGAAGGAAGGTACACATCTGAAATGGTACAAATCATCAATATTTGTCTCTGAAGGATCTAAAAAATTCTACCTGAATTACTTACTTATTCCTTTCAAAGACCTTCGATGAGTTAGCTGCTGCAACTGTAAGGAATATTTCTGCTCCATATATGACTACGTCTTATGAGAGTCTAGTACATTTTATAATTAAGTTACACTAAAAAACTGATCATAAATATAATCAGTTGAATCCTAAGTCATACAATCTGTTGACAGTTGATGGATCGTAACGGGGATGGGAGGTTGAACGTGAGAGAAGTGGTGACTGCTCTAGGCTTGACCTGCACAGCTGAACTGACACAGAGACTGAGGCTACTGTATATAATCCATCTGCCTCCACTGCTACCAACCGCTGACATTGAATCTCCCACCGTATCTGGTAACAACACTAAATTTCCCTTTTGTTAGTTTCAGTAAGCTTAGCTTGTTAAATAGTCTGATCTGATGAAGTAAATGAATCTATAGATAAACACGATTTGTCAATGCTATAATTTAGGGGGTCGTGAATATATCTGTGAGTCCAACCCTTATGGGCTAACGTGCAAGGGGGTTTCCCGTCTCTCGGAGACTCTATTACACACAATATTTACAAGTCCAAACATATCACCATATAAATAACTGAACCATACATGGTAAATACAATATTTTAAACCACACTTTACAAACCTATACAAAATTTTATTTATAATAAGGAGGATAGCAGTTAACTTACATTGGAGAAGTACAGATAGGCCATAGAACTTAATGAAGAGACAATGAACACACAATATTTCGTCTCCTGGGGGACTTTGTCAAATGTAGACAGAGTAAAGAGAGTTTTGTAGCTTCTATCCTCCCTATTGTACAATTCTAAATCCTGGCCCCGAGCCTTTTCTTGAACAAAAATAGATTTTAGTTTGTTTTATACTTTGTACATCTACCCTGTACCGACATTGAACAATTAATTGTCCACACCAGTACCAATGTCTGAGAAATACATTTTAGGTTGACATATCTGCCATGTGTCAAAGCTTGTAAGGTGTGAAAGTCTCTTATAAATCTGATTATTGTTAAGGAGAAAGGAAGGATACACAACTAACTCACCGGAATAAAGAGTCCCAAGAGGTTAATAGAACACATTAAACTGATATTTCGCCCCTTTCAGGCGAATAAGATACTACATTCGGCGAAATATCAGTTTAATGTGTAACTTTTATGTGTTCTATTAACCTCCCGGTACTCTTTATTCAGGTGAGTAAGTTGTGTATCCTTCCTTTCTCCTAACAATAACTCTAAAGCCAAGTTGCTTTTTTCCCTTTAAAAAAAAACTTATGAATCTGATTGTAACTCGTAGATGTCAGTGCAGAAGTGGCTACGTAATGAAAAGTGAGTTATCACTCGGTGAGTCGGTAGTACCAAAAATTTTGGACCCAAGGCAGCGATGTTGAGGGTTCGCTTGCTTTGCTGGACACATTCCACGCACAAGCCTCTGTGGTCGGTGTTGAAGGGTAAACACAAGGTTAAAAAGGCTGCCAACTTAAAAAAAAAAAAAATAAAACTTAAGTGACAGTCTTCTCTGGAGATTAACTGCTCTATATTGGCTCAAGTTATAGTGTTATTTGATGACCATGTAATGTTTGTTCAGATGACGGTGCAGAAGTAGCGACTGAAGCGACAGACTTCTTTGAAGACTCGCTTCAGTTGCTTAACTCAGGCTCCAGTTCCTCTACCCCAGTGCTGGAACGTTCTGTGAGCACCTCCAGCAACCAAGGCCCTCCCGGTAACTAACACAACAGTGTGATAACAAGATTTGTGCTTACTAGGGATGGTCAAGTCTCGAAATTTCGGGAAATTTTAAATCTCGTTACACGAGACGAGATTTCTTTTTGGCCGAGATTTTTATCGAGACGAGAATAAAAAAAAAAAAAATTAAAAACGCCTGCAGAAAGTCAATGCAATACCCGCAATACAGGAGCGTGTTGTAGTTGCGTTTCCTTTGCGAAGGCGTTCTTATTTAATTAATTCTTCAAAAATGTAAATATTACTTTAATTATTTTAATAACATTTGAGAAGTTTTGTTAAGTGTTAGCAGTGTGAGGAATGTTTTATTACTATAAAAAAGTCAAAACAAGTAACTATTTTATAAAAATTAATATTTTATTTTATGATTTATTTTATTTTAGGATAAGTTGAACTCTATCCTAACTGATATCACTATGTTTCCTAATCGTAGGCATTTTTAATAATTTAGGTGTGATTAATAAAAAAATGTTATGCTGATGTTTTTTAATAAAAGATAGTAAATATCCTTGCCTATTATCATTATTTTTGTATTTAAACAGTCATCTAACAATGTTACAAAATCAGGTAAAAATTCCGAACGTGCATTTCCCGTTGTGTATGAGAAGGGAAATCCCGTCTCGATCTCTTCTCGAAATTTTATGAGAAATAAAAAATCTCGTCTCGTCTCGTCTCGAACTAAAAATCCAATCTCGTCCATCCCTAGTGCTTACCATTGTGTAACTTTACTTTTTGGCCGCTAGAGTATTGGAAGAGATTATTTGGTACTTTTGTATTATACGGAGGCCACTTATTTTAGATATATTTTTTTATCAGAGACAAAAAATAACTACATTATTGGAAAGAACAAACTTTAATTGACTTACTGTCCAAATTTGACTGATTACGATTGGCCTTTCAGTTCTGCCTCCCAGAAGGCAGCGATATCGGCGAGAATTTAGTTGTCATGTACTCCACCAAGTAGATATACAGTGCGCTGCCGTGGTTATGTTAGGTTGGGTTATCATAAATGTTTGTAGGACTTTCCCCGTTTCGTTAAGAATCAAACGATACCAGATGAGTCATCACTCAGGACACTGACCCAGATACAGGCGATGCGCAAGCTCCGGTCAACGACCAAACCTTGGCCTACTTGGAGGGGATTTGGCAGGCGAAAGTATGACTCATCTGGTATCGTTCGATTCATAACAAAACGAGGAAAGTCCTACAAACATATTTATGATAACCCAACCTTACATAACTGCCGCAGCGGGCTGTATAAGGGTGGCCTCCGTATAATACGAAAATACCGATTATTTTCCACGCCAACAATGACTTTACATTCTTCTCTATTCTTGGCTGCTTCAAGTACAGTCTTTGTTCTAATAATATCTTTCAACGCCGCGCTCTTTCTCCCCAACCTTGCTTCACCATAGTATGTATGAAACAAACTAATAATCCTGTTAGGAGTGCTTTCAATTCAACCATGTTTATTGGTTACTATTCATTTATTGACATTTGCTCAATTTATATCAAACGCCCACTAAAAGAATTATTTAGCCAACAAAATTGATATGATCAGCCATTTAGCAAGTCAAATATTAAGTAAATTTGCAAAAAAGTGAAAATTGATGAAATTTGCTCAACAGTTCTAAACCTTTTGCGTAGATCCAGGATATTTAAATTTTAACAAGTAGATTTTTCATTACATTTGAGATAGCAGGTTAGTAATTGGGTTATAGATTTGTGAAATAAAAATCTAGAAGCATTTAAAGGAAGTATTTTTTTAAATTCTACTTTTGTCAGATATATAGTTTGTTTAAAAAATGTTGCCATTGGGGATGTTTATTGTGTTCCCCTACCACTTTTTAAGCTTAAAGTATATATCAGCTATCGGCTGTTGTTTTAAAATTAGGGTGAAGTGGAGGAGGTAGAATCGCTTCTCCTCAAACCGCCTAAATTTTGTGAACATAGTGATCTAGTTCTCTCTTTCGTTATCATGCTCGCTCAATCCATATTGCTTGAGAGATTAATAATTAGGGGTATATAGAGTGCTGCACATTCATATCTTGAATTATTTTAAAGGAAATGGAATATTTAGATACACCTAACTGAAATTAGGGTTGATTCAATTTAAGGTTTTACAGTAACACTAGTTTACCACTATGGATTGATCATATGGATGGTCTAGTGCATTATATTTCTTTATGTCTTAGGTTCTGAGGAGACATGGGAAGTGCGCAGCATGAGTTCTCTGCGCGCGCTGATAGAGTCTCCTCGCTCCAAGGCCACTCCGCGCATGAGTCAGCCGCACTTCATTGCTCTGTGGCGCACGCTGCACGACATTCTCACGGCTCAACCGGAGGACCAGGATATGTACCATGCAATCGCCACCATTGGTGAGTGAACCAGATCTTGTCCATTGGAAACACGCCTGCATCACATTTGAAGTTGTTAAAATTTTTAATCACTGCTGTTTACTCAATTGTACGTAAGAAGGAAGGGAACACGACTAACTCTCCTGAGTATATGTGTTAGTTGAAGAATGCAAAATTTATTCACATTTTAAACTTAAAATTTTTACCGTGACTAAGGATTTTGGTAAGTTATGTGTTTGTTACTTTTCTTCCTAAATTGGATTCCAAACCAAAGTTCGTTTCATTAAAGGTATCAACCCCCAATGAAAGCTAAATATAACAAACCCCTATTATTAACAACTCAAGTTAACACATACACTTTCTTAGGTTGGAAAATGCAAACAGCTAAATCGTGTGGTAAGGCACTGTCTGTTAAATGCGTCTACAGTTTATTTCTGAGCCTTTGATAGTATGTTCATCAAGAGCTAAGATACAAATACATTTCAATTTCAGCTGGGTCTATGTAATCATGCCAAAGATTTTAAGTAGGTACTTGTTTTCATAAACGCTAACCAAAGCGAAGAAATTCTCTTAGTTTACAAGTTTGCTGTGACCCGGTATTTTTAATGCTAGACTTCAGCTAATATTACAACCAACACTGAATGTCTAAAGTAGTAAAAACTGATATTAAAGCTCTAATATCAGTTAGTGTTAATCACATAACTTGGTTTCCTTAGCAAAACTTGCTTATCATAATCTGATTGACACTTGTGCACATTTGTGTTTTAGGTACATTGTTACTACAGCTTGGAGATGTAAGCAAGAAATTCTACGCAGCTAGGGACGAGTCGAACGAGAGCCTAGTACAAGTTGCCGACCAATGGCAGAGCCCAACTGATGCGGTTAGTAAATTTAGCATAATTGTTTGTCACAATCAGAAAAACAAGCGATTACTGGAGGTTACTCTCAGAGCTAGGAGGTTTACAGTACAGCTGTCTTGTGGAGTAAGCCGCTCGGCCACTGTTTCTTTGGGTACAACTTAATGCTGTGTTGTTTCCTTTGTTGAATGCAGTTAGGCGTGCCAAGAGAAAAATTAAATTTCCATATCCTTTTCCAAACCAAAGTTTTTTTAGTATTTTCACCACTAACCTTTGCAAATTTACTTTTATATAGACATTCCATTCATAGGTACCTACCTGCTGTTGCCAGTATCTATATAAATAAAATTAGAGTTTTGTCTGTACTTTGCTCAGAATTATAAACTATTAGGTTATTTTTACGTTTTATACATTAAAGAAGCAGAAACGAGTCTTATCTCTATTTCTGTCTGTCTGTCTGTCTGTCTGTCTGTCTTTCCCTTTGTCTGTAACACTCAAGATGGCATTTTACGCAATCTTCTCCGTGAAAACCAGAGTACCTATCAAGATCCAAGTCATTTTAATGTATTCACTGGATTGGCGAGAGTGTCTTTAGTGATTTAAATATAGCCTCACTACTTTGTATATAAAATTACGGACGTTCAAAAATGCAGTTTTGTGCGATTTTTGTCAAATTTTCGTTCAATTTTTATCACATAATCGTCTATGAAATAACGAACAGCTGTTCGGATCAAGATTATTTTTCTAGCTGTCAATGATATGTTTACAAATGTTGTTTACAAATACCGCAACCATTTCGAATCACGTTTTGAAAGCAAATCCCAACCAAGTGAGATTAAAAACGTTTTTCTTACATAACGGATTTAATTAATCGCAAGTGCAATAATATAGTCTAATAGTGTAACCGTAAATGAAATTAAATAACTAGACATCGTCCAAATCGGAACCAGAAATTCTTTGAGTATAAAATGTTTCTTGAGTTTTGACAACCAGAAAGAAGACCTTGAATCAGTGTTGTATAGGGCTGGACACTGAAATGATCGTCGCCAATAGCTTACAAAAAAGGTTTCAACTCATTGACGGCGCTTCAATGGCGGTTGTGTAAAGTGTAAAGTAAAAAATCACAACTGCAGTGGATGATTGTAACAGAGGTTTAACAGAGGAAGTGCTAAACTCGCTTTTCCAATGTGTCACTTTCTGTTTCTACTCACCGTGTGATGCAATCGCTGGACCATACAGCCAATAGGCCCATAGCTCATATCTTGGGTACGTAAGCCTACATATTTATTCATAACAACTTTTTTGACGACGATCCTTGATACCGGTACTTTTCCATAGAATACATGGCCTACCTACTTAAGAAATATAATTACAAATGACCAAAAACCCAACATTGTGTGATTTTCGTCACATTTCCTTCTAATGTTAATAGATATACTAATCATTGTTTAGAGAATGCGTAATCTATTAAATAACAAAAAGTTGTTTGGGTAAGGTTGTTTTTTTCAAACTGACACCGATAAGTTTACGCTATAACTTTTTACGAGAAAATCCAAAAGCAAGAGATCAATAACCTCGGGACTAGATATTAATGTATTTAATTGGTCGGATGTACTATAGTTCTTAGGTAGGTTCTTGCGTAGGTACTGGTTCTTTTCCTTTTTAGAACCGTTGGTAGCTGCTAGAATCATTTTTACGTAGGTACCAACACATCACTGTAGTTTACAAATTAGTTATCGTTGGTGTTGCACCTTATTTATTAGAGCCGTCCGTATTCAATTTAAGTGATGTCTTAACTCTGTATAAGTTTTGCTTTTTCTGTCTGGATTCCAAATCTTAGCTTACCCGGTATGCTAAGAAAATGATAACCTATTTGAGTAGGCTAAAACATTTGTTGGGCAAACCATCATGAATTGTTTACGACTTTATATTGTTTATGTATCAATAGTTCGTGGCCTTTTTTGGATTGTTGTGTGTATGTCTGTTGGTAACGCATTAATGTCCTTATTTCTCAGTGTTTCACGGAATGGACAAGAGCACCGTTGATACTGAAAATGTCAACCGGAATAAAGTGTTAAATGGTGAGGTTGAGGTAGTACTTTAAATACATTTAAGTTAACCGATGTGGAAAGTAACTTTTAATTATAGGCCTACTTTAGGGCTACGCTTCATGGATCTATAAAACATTTTTTAGTTTAATCATTGGACATATGGACCATAACGATCCGGGTGACATTTAATTGCGAAGCATTTATTTTGGCTTGAACTGTCAGATACTGTATTTGCGAAGGTTTATATATAATAGTTTTGCCAGCATATCTGCAAATATGCAAACTAACTGCTGTTCTTAATCTTAATATAAGAAGGTTTCAACTGACTACTATAAGATCCCCGTGCGTAGAACGGGCACACAGCTAGTTGACTAATACAAGTAGATTTCTTGTCTCATTGTAAAATCTAAAGCTAATTTTTACGTTTGGTTCATTTTGGTAGACATGTTGTTTCTCTTATCTAAGGATTAAGTTTACGATTTGTGCTTTACTTTTGGCGTTCACCAAAAGCAGACAACATGCCATCTTGTTTGAACCAGCTGTACCCAAATTCTGTATTTATTTAACATAATCTAATAAACATACCACTCAGCAGAGAGTGAGCTACTGCCAAACTTATATTCTCTCCCATAGATTTTGATACAAACATGGTTGATGTGGAACAAATGCTATAGTTGCAAGTTGTTGTTTTCAGTTGGGCTCAATTACAAAGTTGGGGCGTGTTGAACAGAAATGAGTTATTGACATCAGTATACTGTGTCGGTTCAATTCAACTAGTATTCTGCTATGTTCATTTTCGTTCAAAACCCAATTACAGCATGAACATCGGAATGTGATGTATACTTCAATAGTCAAAGCTACAACATCACTCACCTGATGGAGCCAAATTCCATCCGATTAAACCGGGTAATATCCAGATAGAACTACTAACTAAATTAATGCAATTAAGGCACGCATTATGCAATCACGTTGTTCGCAGGTGTCAGACAGGAACGGTAACCCCGGTAGTCTGGCGGATGCCGAGTGGTCCATCGCGTTGGAACAGTTCATCGCCACCACGCTCACTGGTCAAGTTATCGTGGACTTCTTCAGTCAGAAGATCAACATCGTGGAGGCTGTGAGTCACATGCGGAAACGGAGGTTCACTACGATACACAGCCTGGCTGATCTTCAGTGACAGGTAGGTGTCAGCGGAACCTCAATAACAAGACACTAGGTAACAAGCGACCCTTGATAATAAGTCAAATACCATCGATTTCATACAACCCTTAATTACATGTTATTGCATTGGTATAGATGAGAGACTTGTTATCAAGGGGTATCGTAAATGATTTTTCCATTAGACTGATTACAAGAATTTATGTACAGGGTGTTTCTTTTCAAATGGAAGCCAAATATTATAAGTGCTGTGAGATACTGTTCAATTACAAAACAAGCTTATATATTGGTATTCATGTTTTCTCTACTTCATTGACGATTAGCTAATATGTACTGTTCGCTAGTCTGCCGTAGCACCCCTACTCTCTATTTGCTCTTAAACTCTAAAATTCTAAACTAAATGTGTGTTAGAATCAATTGTTCACTAATGTGTTGTCACATTTTATTTTGATATTCATTTAATGGCTACTATGTTACTTAATACTACCCATACTAAGTAAGAGTGTTAATATTGAATTGGTCAGTAGCAACACTGAACCCTGTCTAAACTAATCTGTAACTTTTATTCACAGATAGTTTGGGTCCATGAATGCACGCCTGACTAGATCATGGACTCATCAAAAGCAGGTAATTTATTTGTTTATTCTATGAAATCTCCACTTATTTTTCCAACAAAAATATAATTGTATAGGAATAGGAGCATTGGCAATTCCAAGGATGAGGCTATAGGGGCTAAAGCCACTACCCCATCGGTACCCTGGAAAATTAAATGTATACATTGCTTCCTAAAAACATAACAGAAATTTTTTGACACAGTTCTAATTAGTGGTATGGGATGCATTGTAATTTTGATTTGATTCGATTCAGCATGCATCAAAATACTGATGGATCGATTTAGTCTCAATGCATCCATTTGGTCCCGATCCATCAGAAAAACCGATGCATCGATTACGTACCGATGTGTATATAAATCTAATTTATAATGAGTTTTAGACTATTTACAAATGTATTTATTTCAAGATTAATGTATCTGGTAATGTTTTATTACAATGCGCTCATTTTAAAGTTCTTATTAATTAATAAATATTATCTTTTTGGTGGCCTATTCACTGATCTCATTGAATTTTTCAAGTTTAGCACAAACTTGTATTAATTTCAATTTTTATTTTTTTATTTCACATCCTATTTATTACATATGTAATGATGTATCAAATAGACGATAAACACTGATTATCATTTTTTTGTCCTTATCCTAAGAATCCAAAGTATGGAAAGCCAACAATATAAAAGTGGAAATAAAGTTACATCACATCCTATGAGAAATAAACTCAATTTTATTTTTTTTTATTTAAAGGCCAATACAGTAACAACCAATTGCTTTGGTATAGCTTTATTCTAATTCTTAGTGAAGTCTGGATTTTCTTAGGCCAACCAGAAAATTAGCAGTGTCCCATCAGCAGGAGGTTAGGTCAGCAACTATCCTCTTGTTCATAAAACATTTTATTCAGTACTTTTTTTACTTTAACCTTTTTTAAATGTACCTTAAAGAAAGATAAACGATCCATTACAGAAACGCAAGTTGTAAATAATTTTGAAAGAAAATCAAACCGTGCTGCATCAAATCGAATCGAAGTTTTTTGAATCGCAGCAATGCATCGAATCGAAAACAAATGCTGCATCAGACACTACTAGTTCTAATTGTTAAAAATGGCTTCAGAAAACCACAAAACTGGCTTTAAAATGCCAAATTTTGTAGGGGAGGATCCCTTGCCCCCCCCCCTTCTTTCTTGGGGGTCTAGAACACTTTCCGGTAGCCCCCTGGGCAAGGTTCTAGAACCGCTACTGTTTGTAGGAGGGTGTTTGATGCGTCTGGTATGTTAATTAAAAAATAGCAAAATAAAATAGCGAACTCTTTGTTAGACACCCTGTATTTTCTCCAGATGTTGCAAGAAAAAAAAAAAAAAAAATACATTCCTTTTTAATCAGACCTGATTTTACAATTAATTTATTAGATTTGTGTAAGGTTTTTAACCTTTTCATGAAAGATTACAAATTATTATTGTTATTGTTTTATGTTATTAAACTTCAAGGGTTCTTATTCAGTGTATTTTTTCAGATTGTTGATATTTCAAGATTGCAGTAAAATCCACCTACTGAGAACTGAGCTAATCTTTAAGAAGTTAAGTGTGATAGAAGTTGTGTAAATGTATGAGTATTTTAATAGTATGTATCAATTAGTGCTTTATTTGTTATACTATTTTCTAACATATTATTATTACATTGTAATTTTATACACAGATTATTTTAACGAAACAAGGTAAAACATTCCATAGTCTTAAAAATTAAATATATATCGTGCCATAGCTTATTAATACTTTAGTGCAATATTTTTGTAAGATATATACTTGAGTTTAATATATGGGTTTGATACTCTTTAAGAAAAACATACATTTCCTTAATAATATAGAAAACTGCTATTTTTAAATACTTATTTTTGAAAGAAATAGTTTTTTTAGGTTTTAATATATATTACTGAGTTAAACTTAGCCTTTTAAAGGATAATTTTTTTATATTTTATGAAGGATTATTCTGATTAAGTGTGTATGGATTTTTTTGTCTGTTTAACTGATTGTTGGTGATTATTTAATGGAGATTAAACCATAACATGGTTTAAAGCAATCCACAAAATGCAATGAAACAATTTTATAATAAAAAGAAGTATACTATTGAATATTGATCATAAAGATTAAACATGAATTGTAATTAATTTGGATAGTATACTACATAAACCTGTATGAATCATATACACTTTGCATTTGATTTATACTTATCAGTGAAATTGAAGGAATATCTATCTATCTTCTATATCTATAAAAGAGGAACTATGTATGTATGATTGTATATATGTAACTTATGGACTCCGAAACCGCACGACAGATTGTAATGAAACGTTCAGGCATTATTAATCATTATTCAAGGATGGTTTGTGTGAAGTTTGGCGCAGATCCGTCAAAAGGGCTCCGCCCCAGAGGGTTTTAAGGGGTCCAAGGTCAGATGTTTGGAACTACAATGTTTACAAATAAATAAAATTTAAAAGCAGATATTTACTTTCACCAACTGTTTTGTAGGTTTTAATAATCACAACATTCTGTATTAGTCACAATTTGATCCACAGAATGCAGCACAGAAAACTATTTTGCTTATGGATAAGTCTAAATATATTAAGCCACAATCGCAGCACACCTGTGCAATCAACAACGTTTAAATTCTCCACTATTAAATATGTAAACATAAATGGGTAACTTACGCCTAAAAAGTTATATATTTATACACCGAATGAAAAAAAAAAAAACAAAAAACATTGTTTATCCACTAACAATTAAGTTAAATAAATATTCTATTTTTGTTTTTGGTGTACATTTTTAATATTTATCTTACAGAAAAAATACTATTTAAAATAATAGTTGTTAAGCGCAGCAACGTGCGCCAGGTAACTGCTAGTTTTGTATAAATGCTAGGATTGTGTGCCTATTTTGTGCTCTACCTTTTACATGATGTTTAGCTTGCTATAGGAGCTTTTAAATTTAGAAAGATTATTATTTGTGTTATAAACAATGTCCAGTGTAGTTATAGACCGCTGTAGATAGGTGTACAGAATAAACTTTACCACTCCTATAGAAAAAAAATGTTATCTACTAAAACAAATAACTAACATATTACAGCAATAGTTTTTTTTTTGAAGAAAAAGCACATGGCTCAGGAATATGTAAAGGTATACAAAAATAACTTGCTTAAGAAAAAGAGTTCTAGGCTGTTGAAAATACAAAGAAAGTTCACTAAACAATAAACTTGATATTTCGCCTTCCAAAATATTTTGGCCCTTTCAACTTCTTTCTTTAGAAGATTTATCAAATACAAGTATAGGGATCAGCTAGCTTACATGGTAGATATAGTCCAGATTAGCTTTGGTAACACACACACAATACATAACACAAAACAGTAAACAATAAAACCTTTTTGAAGGTGTCGATTCTCAATTTCGTGCTGGGGCTGGGAGTTTTGTCAATGTTGGTTTTGTTCTTTGTTCCCGACAATACCATAGCAAAACCGTCAACCAATGTCGGAAGTAACATATTTGGTTTCATTAACTTGACTTCAAATCATTTCTTCACTGCAGCCAAACCTTCTAACTCCCTGGATCTGGATTGAACAAATTCATTTTTTTTAAAGATGGTTCAGTCGCTCTTGTAGAATGTCGAAGACAAAGCTTCTTTAGAACCATCTTTCTTCAGTTTTATTCTTGTAGGGGTGAAATGTCAAGTTTATTATATTGTGTGAACTTTCTGTGTGCTTTCAACTACAGTAACTGGAACTCTTTTATTAGGTAGTAAGTTAGATGTGTATCCATTCCTTCAAAATCAAACTAGGTGTAATGTTTGTTGAACATAGCTGTAACTAATCACAAAAAATTAACTTTAAACAAAGAACATTTTTTATGGACTCCGAGTAAGCTTGAACGGTTTCTAATACAAATATAAAATCACAAACAATTTAAGTTTGTAGTGTAAATTTAATTTGTATAACAAAGTAATCACAAAAAGTGTAATTTTGTGGGTTAGAACCTCTTGCTGGTTTAACAAAATTAACCTGTTAAAATTTCTTTCACACGGCTTAACATTTAATCAATAAAACACTCTTTGACTATTTTTATTTAGCTTTAAAAACATCTTTCATTGAAACTCATGTTACAACCAAATTAGCTGTTTAATAAACAACTTGTAAATACTGAACATTAAAATGTTCATCCCTAAATAATTGCTTGCTTCTGCTGAGTTCCATTGTATAGCCATGTAGCTTATTTTCATTTCAAACAGAAAACATCTCTGTAGCCTTTTGAGATTCAAAATTGACTTTACCATTGTGTAATTAATTTAGCTTAGTTCATAATATTTTAAGAATAATGGTTTTAACACTATACTCATTATTGTGATATGTTCTACACCTTTGTATATAGAGGCCTGCATTGTTTTCCAGTTTGAGAATAACATTTTATGATAATAAAATATGTCTACAGTTATTTTTGTGTTTTCAAGACCATGTTTTCCTAAATCCACATTTACACAGTCACAAATCCAGTAGGCATGCAAACTACCTGCCTCTAGTATACATTTTAGCAACAAGCTAAAATTTAATGGTAATAGAAATTGAGTTAAGTAAAAAGTTTATCTTTTGAGATTATTTAAATATTACTCAGCATGTTTTAGTACATTACACTTCATAGCCGGGAAGTAGGTGTATATGGTGCAAGGATTGCTGAGCGCAAGATTCCGTGCAAGTATCGTTTACACTTTTTCCCCAGTGAGTCGCGTACCACTTTTCACCATACTACCAGCAACAAAAATTCAGGTTAAGTCAAACAACCCATACATAATTTGAAAATGTAAAACTATTTTTATTTTATAAAGTGTATGTGTTTAAATTCCTATATGGATTGTAAAAGTGAAATGTGAAAGGTTTGCTATTAATTTTACAGCTTTCTTCATGAGTTCTTTTTGTAACATAGACACGTTGTGAAGAAACATACAGAAAGAAACTTGCACAGTAAATTTACCGATCCCTTTTACAATTAACGAGATTCTTATCTTATTAAGTAGCCGGGCAAAACATTTTTTAAACACGGTTAAAAGGATAAAAAAATATCTAGAAACAAGAAACATTTTATTAACATCCATTCTGAAACAACCTTCACAACTTGAAGAAGAAATTGTTTTCTACACTTTACAATGTTTGATACAATATTTACAAGTATTACAACATCCTTCACACAGTCACTCTTTACAATCGAACTTACGTATAATAAAATAAATTAATTAGTCTACTGTTTTATTAACGTAAACCTAAAAAACTACGCAATAATTCTAATGATATAAAATAAACGTTTTAGCAATAATTGGAGAGTGTGATTATTTGGGTTTTACAACTTTATGAGCCAAGAGATCGAAGGTTTAACTAATTTGATTATTCATGGATATTTTGTCAATGGATTCTGAGTAACATTAATCTTAACCAACTTAAGAATGTAGATAGTTTCAATTTCAACTACAGGTTTTGCTGACAATGGACAGTTGGTTTGTTTGCTGTACACTGTTTGTTTGAGACATTGTTGTTTGCCGCTTTTCTACGAACTAGGGATGTACGAGACTGGATTTTCAGTTGGAGACGAGATCGAAACGAGAATCTTTTTTCTCATCCTTATTCGAGACGAGATTATAGATCTCATTACTATTGGGAATTATTCGTTTGCGAAGTTTTACAATGGTTAACAAATAACAATAAAGCAATATTAAAACAACTAAAGTACAATAACTAATTATTTACAGTATTACACAGGTTGATACAAAAAGAGTGTACAAAATAACAAAAACTTACAGGAACAAATAGTTATAAGATAAAATAAGATGTCTTTGATGTAAAACTGCAACATGCACACCACAACTAACTGTATCACAACAAAAACAGTCTATAAGAGACGAAAGAACATTGTAATAGCTTGTACGGTGTTACTTCTGATCTCAGCGATAATGGTATCATATACAGTAAAACCTATTATATCCGGTATAGACGGGACCAGGGTCATTAAATGAATTACCGGATAAACCAATTTTTTAGATGTAAAAAGTTGAAAAACACCTTCAGAAAGTCTTTGCAATACCCGCAATACGGGAGCCTGCTCATGTGTTTCCTTTGCAAATTATTGTTTTTTTTTATAATCTCGTCTCGAAAAGGTCTCGCAGCAAAGTCGATCTCGCTCGAACTAACGAGATTTTGTTCATCTCGCATATTTCTCGAAAATTTAAGACCAGTCCATCCCTACTACGAACGTCTCACCAAGTCTGTATTTATTGACGGGTCTGACGTTATAGCTGACAACTAGCAGTGGAACTTCTGGGATGGATCTGGTCGCGTGTGTCATCTGGAGAACTCCGTTATCAGCTGACCTTGAAGACTTCGGAAGGTCTGTTGTAAGTTTCACAGTGGCGCTTTCAGTCAAGACTATTAATTACCATGTTAAACCTCAGAGTACATGAGTGACCAGGCCCATATCCCACAGGGTCTCACTGAAAGTACTCGACAAAAGGCTTTTCATTATACTCCAGTGGAAATGAACGTTTGCTGCTGTATAGGTTAAGATAGTTCTTATTTCTAGGTTAAATAAGAAACAGCCGGTGTACAAGACATCTTGTGATAGTGTCAGAGAATAAGCATATGAATCTTTACGATGTATTGTCTGTCACTTTTGCTGAATCGATATAAAATTAGTACTAATTTTTTATTTTAATAAGTTTCAACATAAACAAAAATTTTTGGCTGCATAAACTAGGCTACAAAATAAACAAAGTTGTCTCTTTAGTAAATCACTGTTAATTAGAATAACAAATAAAGTATATACAAACTTGGTCGTCTGAAAAAAAGAATAACTTTCTTGCGCTTCAAGCACAGCTAAATAGTTAAAAAATTCAATGTTTAGTGAGAACAGAGCTTACAGAGCTTACTGCCAAAGCACAAACTATTTTAGGCATTTTAACATTAGCCTATTAAAGCTGATATCATTACAAAACTTAAAAATCGCCAAAGAAATAAACCCAACCAAACAGTAATTTGTTAAGTTACTGGTAATTTGTTGGGCTATTGTGACAGAACACTATGTACATATATAAAAAGTGGACCTTCATGAAATATTTTTTAATAACAAATAATTATATAAACCTAGAATCTTGTAGACCATATTTATGGTGGATCCCAAACCACCAAATAAAATCAGAAAACAAAACAATTATGACACAAATTAAATGATATTATCTAAATATCAAAGAAATAGAAATATCAAATTATTATATCTTAAAAATAAACAATACAAATTATACATAAATGTTTTCAATTTTTACCAGTATAAACTAGTATTGTAAAAGTATTTTATGACACAAATTAAATGATATTATCTAAATATCAAAGAAATAGAAATATCAAATTATTATATCTTAAAAATAAACAATACAAATTATACATAAATGTTTTCAATTTTTACCAGTATAAACTAATATTGTAAAAGTATTTTACATTGGCTATACCTTTCCATACAGTTTTATTTAATGATTTTATATACCTTGATTTCATCTCCAACTCATCCTTATTTCTTAATTAATTCATTTCTTAGCACGTTGAGTGCAGGCTTCATCTGATGTAGTCGCGTCACTCCTACTACATTAGTTTAGTATGAGCTCAGCCCATGCCGGAGAACGTTATTTTGAGCTTTATATTGGTGTATGTTGGTACTAAAATTTCCTGTAAAATCCTGTCTCCCCTGATTCCCTGATTGCCGGGGCTTCGATAGGTTTTCAGCACTCTTAAGTGTTAATCTATATAACGTTTACAACTCATAAAATTCCAAAAATCTTGACAATTTTAACTATATCCCTATCAACATTGTTGTACAAGTTAAAAAGGGTTGCATATTATTTTGACATCTTATACAAACTCATAACAGTCATATGAAAGTAGTGCATGGATCAGACATGTGAGCAATACTTCCACTGGAGTTCATGGAATTTTTCGGCATCAACCGCGTCATCACTACTATACTATCGCCTAGCCACTGAGGATGCCACTTCATAGTAAGGCCGAAACGTCTAGCGATGGTATAGTAGTAACAACAAAAATTCCATGCACTCTTATGACACCGGCCGCAAAAGCCTACGTAAGAAGAATACTTCCACTGCCTTTGACATATCAGCAATCCTGTGTGGTCTTACTGTCGCTTCTCTCGCGGAAGAATCCTTTCTCCGTCTTGCACTCTCGGATGGTGACTGTATCCAGGTTCACCGTGATGTCAGTTATGAAGATTTCATCAGCCAGTGGATTTCTCTGGCGCCAGTACTCGGGGCCGGGATTTGTCAAAATGTGACTGACAAACACCTAAAAACAAATATATATATTTTCCTCTAAAGCGTTGACACATATTATAGCTAAACGTTGTCCACATTGGCTATACCATATCCTTACAGTTTTATTTTAGGACAGCTTGATTTAATTCGTAATTCATCCTCATTCAACCTAAATACTAAGGAAAACGTGTTGGGAATTAATTTTGATCAAGTTGTAGTTGACTTCTTTATTGATGGCGTGAGTGCACCAGTGAATGACCCCCCCCCCCCACAGCGAATGACTGTTTTGTCTCAAAAACATCATATTAAGCTTTTTGTTTTGCCCAGTCTATCACAAACGGTCTTAAAAGTAACTTCAAATCAATCAAATCAAATCAAGTCACAGAAATAGACTGTTATGATAGCGGAAACACTTGTGATTATTCACCACAATTGGGGCAGTCTTAGATAATTTCTTAGGATTGAAAATTTCTTAGGATCAATGTTCACGGCAACATTGTGATAATTTCCTGCGATCACGTTTTTCTTTCTTGAGGTAAAATGAGAACAAACAACAATAATTATTGATAGATTTTACGGCAACTATTTGAAATCTTAAAATTCCCATACCCACCATACCATTCAAGTAATTTTCCCAGGTAATTGAAATTCATGTACAATTCCTAGTTTTCCAGGGTACATAGTTGACTGGACACTCTGGATCAAATTCGGCTAACTAAAATCTCTAAGAGCGAGGTATAGGGAGTGGTAAAAAATGTCTCGATAAAAGCCTTGTAGTTCATTTGCAGTATGAGGTTGGGCATTTAATTTCAGTGGCCATGGAAGTAAGGCGAGGTTTAAGATACACTTAAGTAGTAGCCTAATAATGGTCCTAAACTCAAGCCCTCATACAACACAACATTGAATAACAACAACGACTAGAGAGCACATACCTGTGGCTGTTCCTCCCCCTCCCCTTGGCCTCCAGGATGTCCGTTCACCAGGGGAGGATCCGAGGGAGGCTCTTCAGCACGAACCACAACTGGAGACGTAGCTGCCGCCCCTCCTCCTACGCCCACCTGAAAATAATGCTAAGTTAGCCCGGTCTACAGTTACAATTTCAATTCTGAACCAAAATGGATTTTACTTGGTTAGAAGTTTGACATAATACATAACAAATTAGGTTAAACCATTGTCTTTTGGATACTAAAGTAGAAATTTACTAGCTGTAACCTATTTTTATTAAAATAGAACACATTTGTTATGTCAGTCACAGTGTGTACTTTGAAAATTCTATTTTTCCCTTAGAGACGGTTGAAATGCTTCCGGAATCTAGTGACTCTCAATGTTGAAAAAGGGACCAGTGGCCTCGAAATGTTCAGTGTTTTCTTTCATGTTAGGCCTATTTTAGTGAAGTGGGATGCCTACAATTTTCAAGGTAAGCCTACTTATCCTGTTCTTTTTCCTTAATTGCTTACAATAAGTCATCTAATCAATTTGACTTGGTTAAACAGTTGGCATATTCGACAGAAATCAGTAATTTAGGCTACATCAGCAAACTCTATTGCTGGCTCAATTCAACATATGTAATTTGATTCTAAACCTGATGACAAATTTAATATGGGGATTAGAAAGTATAGTTCTCAATTATCAATTAATTAAGACGGATACAACCCCCTAGGTGCTTATTTAATCCAAATATGAGTATAGAATGAGTGTAGAATGGTGAGATAATCTGTGTAGCTTTGATACTAAAATCAGCTGTTTCATTCAGACAGGATCATTTATTTAAATCCCAATGATCAGGAACAGCTGGGTCCAGTTTTGAACCATCAAAAAGCTATTGACTTTTCTCAGCATCGAACAGGTGACCTTTTTATTGCTAAGCCGTTTAACCACTCTCACTCAGCTATCCAACCATCTATCAATAGTTGAAGCATAGATAAAACATACCCCCTTAGTAGATTTCTCATTCTTGTGGAACAGCAGAAGACAATTTTATTGTTAGTTCTGCACAGTGTACTGTAGAGGTCTTGTTTTGTTTACAATTTGTTTCTTGTTATTTCAGTAATTTAAAAACTCTTTTAGCCAAATAATATGATATAATCATAAACAACAACTCGTCCCCTAGTTATATAACCAAAAAGAAAAGGACATATCAAGAAATTATCTCGCAACGGAACAGTTAAATAAATACTGTTCGTCACAGGCCTGTGTTCCGTCCGCGAGAACCATTTGTCTATTTGATTGCAACAATGTTTATGTTTGTATTAGTGTAAGAATAGCGTACAAGTAACCTACTACAACAAGATACTTCTTGACTTGCCATGTGCATGACGCAACTAGCGTCAAAACCCCGTTTGTAAATTATATAACTATCCTTGAACTGGGGCGAAAGTAAAGGTAAATAAACCACTATGTACCTGAGGACTTTGGGTGTTCACAGGGCAGAGTACTGGGTCCGTTCTTTTCTCTCCGCTAGTTTGACCCGAGGCAGGTGTGGCGGGAGGCACAGACGGAGTAGACTGTGCGGGGGCTGGTGCTGCTGCAGGGGTGGTTGGCGGGGGAGACTTGAGCGCCCGGGAGGGAGGGGAAGTGTTGGGAGGAGGAGAGGCAGGAGTGGGAGTGCTCTCGTCTGCTGGAAGTCCTCCACTGTTGCGTGGGCTTGTACTTGATGACTTTCTATGTACCTTGGCTGGCTGACCCTGAAAGATAGTCAATTGTAAATATTTTTGTCAAAACCTTCCTTAGTTTGACAGTAGTTGATGTCTCGTCAGGTTATGGACTTAATTAAGGTAAACAATGAAGCATTTACCAGATTGGTCCTAATTACCACTTATGGCATAGAAATAACACTTAACAGATTTATCATCCCCACGGATCAGCTAAATATAATTTAAGTATATTCAGGGTGAACCAGCAAAAGTGTTACAATAGTTAATTTTTGTTTATACTTTTTTTTAATACTTTTCAATGAAATGGCGACCACAAAAAGTTTGGAGAAATTTTAAGCCAAGTATGAATGGAGATGAGTGTAGGATGAGTGGCCTGATCTTGTAGTCTTGTTAGTGACTAAGGCCGACATATTCCTTAGACACAGCTGTTAATTAATAGCCCATACAGCTAATTGCAGCTAACGGACCTATTATGATACAACTATGTTGTATTATGAGAAGTTAACAGTGAGTTATTATGACAGTTAACTTCAAACTTCTTATGGGGCACTCCCCTTTATCTTTTAAGATGTTTTTGGGGCGGTTCCAAATTTCAAAAATATGATCACCATTTTCCAATATGGCCGACAAATTAAATATTTCTTATGGAACTTATATTTTATGATTGTGTTAGAAAGTAAATGCAATTTTACTTTTATTTTTTACATTTTTTTTTAGCTACTTGTTTAGGAGTTAAAGCCTGTTACACATAAGAAAAAATTACACTTGGAGTACATTCTACATAATGTAGCTTCTAAAGGAGTAAGATTAGAGAGAAAATTCAAGGAGTAAATAAGTCTTGAAATTGTATCTACATCCTAAAAAATAAAATACGTAATAATTGATTCCATTGTTTTAAAAATGGCCGCCATTTTCCAAAATGGCAGCAAACTTGAAACTGTCTATTTTATGGTCTTTTTAGAATGTAGATGCAATTTTTAGGCTCATTTCATTCTCACATTTTCTCTGAAATCTTACTCATTTAGGAACTACATGATGCAGAATTTTATATCACTAGTCATTTTCTCCGTCATTTTCATCACTAGTTCATTTTCTACGTGTAAAACGCTGTAACTCCTAAACGAGTAGCTTTAGAGAAGAAATGTCAAGGATAAAAAGCTTTCCCTCAATTCATGAACACAACAATTCCAAATTCTTTCTAAACAAGTTTGCGGTAGACACACAGTGTAAGAATAGAAGTACAGTATAGCACAATGCCAGATTTTAGGAATCTTCTTATCTCCACAACCTCTGGCCGAGGCGACCAACATGTGCGGTTTGTCCCTCCAACCAAGTTCTGACGGACAAGTGAACACTTTATGAGTTGACACTTGACTTCGTAATAAATTAAGTTAATAGTCCGGAAAATAGGTGTTTACGGGACAAGTGTGATCATTCCCGCGTGTGATGAAGTCGAGTGCAAGATTACCATGAGGTTACATATTTTGTATTATTGTGTGTCCGTCCTGTTTATATATGTTTAATATTTATTTAACCTCTGACGCAATGCAAATGAAGACGTTTTGTGATAAGTGTAAGAACAAGACTTCGACTACGCACCCAAAGATGGAGAATCTCCGAAACATTCATTGTGCAATATCACGTCTGATTGCGAAGATGGTAAGAATCTATATATATAAAAGGCAAAGCCCTCACTGACTGGCTGACTGACTCACTCACTCATCACTAATTCTCTTACTTTCCATTTACCTAGGAGGCTGAAATTTGGTACACTGATTCTTTAGGCATTAAATAGGAAAACTAAGTTGTTTTTATTCTGATCGGACTCTCGGGCTCCGCCCCAGTGGCTCCGGAGTTTCCCATGTTAACCTTATGAGTACTCATATTTAAATGGAATTAATGAATCTTAACAGCTGTTTCAATTAAACAAGTTGGTTCTGTTCTATGATGTTCAATAGCATTAATTAAAGTTACAAGGATTACCAACAGGGTGCAGCAAATTTTTTTTTTAATTTATGACAGCAGCTAATTTGCAACCAAAAGGTGAGTGAGGGTAGCGAACAAACTTCAACCAGGACGTGATTGAGCCATGCGAACGAGCTCACTTATGAAGTAAAACGGGGCAAAGCCCGCGGGTACAGCTAATGAAATATATTTTTATATGTGATTTTATCTTTAGAATTAAGGTTAATGTAAAAAATTCTAAATTTTTGCTACACTACTGTGAAATCACCTGCTTACTTCATGTTTTTCACTTGCAAAAATTCATCGTTACATTGCCTACTATGCAAAAAGAATGTTTACTAATGCAAAAGTAATGTTAACTGTCTTTTTGGATTTTGCCTACATAAACAAACATTTTTTATTCAAACTCAAACTGTTATTCAAACATTAACTGTTCCAATTTGTAACAAACAAAAATGTACAATCAATGTAAATTTGATCTTTAAATAGAAATTATAACCAAAATGCAAAACCTTAAAAATGCTATTAGTTTCAAAATGTTCCTAACCGAAAGTCATTTTTATTCCAATGTCTATTTTGAATTTTAAAATAATTAGTCATTATAGTGTAGCGAAAAGTATCGTTCCAAACATGAGTGAAAGTGGGTCATAACGTATTTGAGACCATATGTTCAAAGCGTGAGATTTATCAAGCACTTTAAATAAACATATGGTCTTAAATACATATTGGAGACCATAATTGATACATCATTACATAATGAAAATCACATCATTACATAATGATACACTTTCTACTATTGTTATGAAATACTATTGAGTGAGGAAAATATTAACATGATTTGTAACACTAATGTGAACAAGGGTAAATTTTTTACTTTACCAGATGAGTTTTGTTTTTTAGTTTAGGTTAAACATTTTGACACACCATTAAAAAAATGTCCGATTTAAAAAAAAGTTCATTTGATGGTTTTAAAATTTATCTAGGCCTACATCAATAGTTATGTGTTTTTATAAAATACCTGAGGAGTTTAATAACTAAAAATAGGCTTATTATAATCAGCTGGTATCCGGTAAAATTCATAATAATTTGAGATGGGGACGCCACCTTTGTGTATATTTAACCTAAATATGAGTCAAGGATGAGTGTAGAATGGAGCGTGATGATTTGTGTGCGTACAGTAGTACGTAATGGAACCCAATTTGATTAAGCAGGTGGCAAACAGCTGTTTCCTGTACTAAAACCATGAGTGGAGAGTCCAATAAAAGAGTAGTGTGGAAAAAATAACTTTCTTGATCGGCATATTCTTATTGTCCTTCTTCTGTCATTAGCCTATTGAGTCTGATGATGATTGTAGTGTCCAATCAAAATCAATTACTACTTACTTACCATCTTTTATATATATTCAGCGTCTTGCGAGTCAATAGTATAAGTGTAAAACATATTTCAAGTGTTACTTGACATTATACCTGACTGAGAAAGGGTTAAAAACCATCAAGATTCATTTTTCCCCGTCTATCATACTGTCCTTGGACCACTAGGCCTTCAATCAGATCTTACAGTCAACCACGCTAACAACACTGGCCAATCTATAGCCCAAGCATAGTGCCTCTATAATTCGAACCTTGATATTTCACAAATTGTTTATAATCCCCTTGAAATGCCTGTGAATCGAAATGTTTTAAGAACCTCTATAAGTTGAAAGTTTTAAATATTTAACCCCAATAAGTCAAATTTTAACGGTTTTGATCAGGTATAATTAACCTTAAATTTTCCCGTTCTCGAGCCTAATAACTCGTTTTGAAGTTGTATTATACTTCATGGTGTAAACTATTTTTTAAATGTAAAAATCCAGGTTTCTTCCTAGTTTTTTCCTGAAATTCTTTTACAAACCTGGAAGTTTTTCAAGGTTCCCGTGTAAATGTTTAGCTGTAAACTATAACCAATTCGAGGCCTACAGCTTAAGTTTGTTCTCATATTCACGTATGTATAAATTTCTATTGTTCCAAAGTTCAGTGAGCAAAGTATAGTTGCAAATATATTAATCGTTAATATCATGTTCATTACCATTATTATCACCAAAGGTCACGAAAACATTGTCTCCCGCGATAGCGGCAAAATCCTGAAATCTCATCTAAAGTTATCTTCGCATTCCCCCATTGCGGCATAATTTTTGCCCTTCAGTACACAGTATACATAGCTAGAGCTCGATTTACAAAGGTTTAGTGAGTAAAAGTTGAGCTATAAAGATCGTGATATCATTGTCAGAATCAGAAACCTCGATATCTTAAATTTTCGGTATAGCACCTTCATAACTCGAACCTCGCTTAGTCAAAAAACTTCTTAACTCCAACTTTTATCAAACCCCCTTCAGATTCAAGATATCTATCAAGGTCCTACTTACGGTAGTTAAAACTTTACTTCCAAGAATTTTTTTAAATTTTTTATAGCGTTCTAGGTTTAAGCCTGGGATTGTTCTTCACATTGTAACTTTAACTTATTTTGCTTAATAATGATAATAATGGCAATACAACAAAAAATATAGTTCATCATATGGGCAAAAGTGTCTTTTCCACCATCGCTGATTTTCTGACCTTGGCTTTGCTTCAGTCGTTAAGCTCAAACTTGTATCAAAAAGAGTCACTTTACACTGTAGAAGAACTTAAAAATGAAGCTAGGAATAATAGAAATAAAATGTTTCTAGAATATAATTTATTGGTACAAAATTAAAAACCATAAAAAGCTGGTAAAATTTAAAGCAATTGTTAACCTTGATAAAGTGATAACCAAACTTAAAACATTTGGTGACAAAACCTGTATTAAGACGCTAAAATATAAAATCAACCTTACCTCAACAATAACAATCAATACTTAACTTTCAAATAACATGTCTTTGAAATCACAAAAATGAAAAATGAACTGTTAAGAGAAAATGATACAACAAAAATGAATGCTACTTCTAAAATGGAATAAATAAAATGAAACTAAACTAAAGTTTATACGCTTGACATTTATAATGTGATAGAACTGTTAACACTTAGTTGACCAAGTTGGGCATAGAATATTACATCACTTATCAGTTTCTCTGCAATTATTCTCTGTTCCCGAGAGATTTTATCAATTCTTTGCAGTCTTAAGGCAATGTTACTTCCAAAAGCCAAAAACTCATTGAGTTCCAATGACGAACTGTTTTTATTGGCCATCAAACTAGACTTTAGGCAAGACACCAGTTGATCACTAGAGTTTTGTTTTAATTCTTCATAAATCTCCCCTTTAACTGATTTCAACTTGGAAATGGTAGAGCCAATAGCAGATTTTCTCTTTTGACCTTTAAGGGTCGAAGTAACTGACTGTTCTCCCCGTTTCTGAAAAAGTTGAAAAATTATATTACTAATCGAGGAATTGCATTAGTATTCAAAATTAAAGGGGTGACTTTGGAAAATTGACTCTGGTAACTAAATAAAATTCCCAAAAACATTTAGTCGTAAATTTATGTGACACACTAGTCCTGAACTGTCTTTAATGTATAATTGGAAACTTGATCGTCATGGTTGACTTTTGTCAAGTCATGGTTAGGCGTTCACAGTATACATGAGAAAAGTAGGGTAACCTTGAAAGCGCCCCATGTTGATATTGGTTGCAAAACGTCAAACTTTAGTCTGTTATTTTAATTTTTGTATTTTTTATGTGTGTGTGTGAAATGGCCATGTGGTGACTAGGAAGACTGTGTTCTCCTTATTTCAACAAGGTGAGTGATGTCCAAACATACTTATCTAACTGGATTAAGTTTAAAGATTAATAATAAGTTTTAAAATAACACCTTAATCAGCATAATACGTGTTATTAACTATACGGAGAGTAAATAAAAATACGTCTAATAATACTTGAAACATATATTTACACTTATACTGTTTTAAATAAGATGGTAAACATATAAAAGATGGTAATGGTGATCAATTCGGCGATAAAATCATAAAAATGATCGATGACTGGGACCCTGGCATTGTCCAGTAATCCAGCTACTAGGAGGTCACGAATTCTGGATATTTATAGGCATGATCTGTGGATGCAAAACTCCCTGGTGTGGATTGACGTCCGCACTAGTGAGTACAGTACTATGACTTTCCACAGTACTATCCTGATAAGTAGACCAATTCGTAAATTACAAGGCAAAAATGTGGTTCGGCTTCCACTATAAACTGTAGTTGGCTGTATGGGCTGTTAATTAACAGTCCTGCGTAACAAGTTTAAAGATCGTGCCACTCATCCCACATTCATACTTGGCTTAAAATACCTACCATTTTTATTGTCACCATTTAAGTTAAAAGTATTAAGTAAGACCACCATTCATAAAAGAAATAAAAAATCAAAATCCTAGCATAAAAGCAATACTTGTAGTAGGTTATGTAGCCTATGTATGTCATTTAAGTACATTACAATTTAGATCAACTCTATGAGCCTAATATCCAATTATTGTACAGTAGATACAAAAATTAACCACGCAGAATGCTTCTGCACTACTACAGCACTGGCAAGTGACGACGAATTACGGAGCTCACTTAGTGCAATCGTTACCCACTAAAAAAATATTTCATTGTTCTTCAATTGCAATTATTTATCACTAGGGCCTATTAGGCCTTTGTCCTAACTTGTCAGCCATCGCATCAAAGCATTGCTGTAACTTGCAGGAACTTTGGTTGTCTCAAATTCACTCATAACTCCAATTCGTTAATTTAATAGTCTTTCCATGGACCGGCCTTTCCCCTGGTATGGCCCAGTAGCTGACTGATTAGGATTACTGCCGTTCTAGTGTGTTTTACGCCAAATACACGAATGACACTGATGTCCTGTACCTAATCAGATGAACCTGTAAAAAATCCATAAGCAAGGTTTCAAAAATCAAATTTCACTCACCAGTGTTGGAGAAAGAGGTCCAGGACTCATAAGTTTGGCCACTTTGAGAGGAGGACTACTCGTAGTGATAGTCACTCCTATCTTGCCTGACTCCTTGGACAACACCTCCGCCTTTCTCTTGGTGCCTCCCCCGCCAACCCCCCCACTGTCCACCTCACCGTCCCCTGCGGCTTCCTTCCCGTCCACCGCAGCAGGCTCTGCCGCTTCTGACGAACCTGAAATCAAATTATTTTTGAATGAACTTTTAGTTTACATAAATTATACTTTTGTTGGATTGATATAGGTTTAAGAGGATTTAACCAGCCAAAAATATTATGTTTCTTTATTGAATTAACACCAAGCATTACGATTAATGTTCATGATGAAAAGTGTGTTATGATGGGACATTAACAATATTGTGTATCACAGTGGAAAATATACTAGTATTTAGACTTGGAAAGATTGATACTTTTCTGCCTAACTCACAAGCAACAAGTGTCTGGCTGGAAAATGAGAGCGACAACGAGGAAGAATAGGTAGATGTAGCGAAAAATAGGTTTAATCAATAAAAAGAAGAGGAAAGATGAGAATGTACTGCATATCTGGAGGATAATAATAGGATAGTTAAAGGTACAGATAGGCTCAGCATAGCCACTTAGGATCCTAAGCGCTATTCCCAACAAGGGTGACACTTCAGATAGTGAATATACATATAAATATTTTAACAAATAGTGTTTTTGGACCCTAGGAACATCAAAATGAAAAAAATTTCACGGTCCAGGCTCCAAGTCTTACCTTTGGTAATAGCTGATTTCCTATAGGGAAATTCGCTAAAAAAGGCTGTCTCAAAGAGTTCAATATTTTTTGTTGGGATATTAGGGTTCTACAGAACTAATTTAGACTAACCTTGTGCAGTGTCCGCTTCCTCCTCCTGTCCATGTTCTGCTGATGTCCGTTTGCTCGGCTCATCTACAGTCTCTCCTTCTCCCCCCGCCACATCTTCCGTCTCCTCCACCTCAGGGGTAGGATCACTCGCAGCTGCCTGCTGTAAACAACCATAACCACTTTTTAGTTATATTCTGAGTTTTATCATGAGGTATTTTCAGCTCAGCCCAAATTAATAAGTAGGCCTACAGAGAGGAACTGTTAAGCTACTATGCAGCGCTATTAACTTCATTACTGGTCAGCTGATGCACATTGCAGCATTGATGTATACATGTTGAAATCTCCCTCTTCTTTAGTTGAAAATGCTGTCAGTGACAGTGAAATGTTCAAATGTTAAGTGTATATATATGGTGTCTCTTGTTCTAGTTTGGACTCTTTTTTTTATTCAGGTAAGCCTGCTATACTCACAAAAAATCCTTATAGGCCTAATGCCTTTTAGAAATCTAGTTACTTACTTGTGATCTTGATTCTTTTTTCTTTGGTCCCCGCTTGTGTTGTTGGCTGGTTTTCTGTTGGCTGAAACATTAAAATACCACTTTAACTAAATTCACAAAACGTGTAGTTAATTTTTTTACTTTTAAGGATTTAAAACAAAACTAATTTGAGTAACTTACCGGTAGCTTAAGTATTTACAACAAAGAATTAGAGGCTCCTATGAAGTAGAAGGGGGTTATTATTCTTTTTATTTATGGTATCCTAAAGCCAATTAATACTAGAGTGGTAAAACATGTATTAATCTGCGACACTCATAGCCTACATGAAGTGAACGATACATGTAGGATGACTAAAATGTGAATAGTTAAACTCTATACATGATGTAAGCTGTCTCCTGGCCCTCCGTATACTCGGAGTCCTATGGTCTAAGAACCAGGCAAGTTCCAGGGAGACAAAGGGTCAGGAGACAGGTTCCATCATACAGACTATAATGATTTCTTCTTCACGGATTATTTAGTGATTTAATTATGCCTACCTTAGTTATGTTACATTTCCAGAGACTACAAACATGTTAAGGACAGGCAAATGCCTGATTCAATATATACCAGTATGTAGCTTGCACAGAATTCATCCTGTCAACTTCCAAACAGGCTGTCCTATTTTACGAGCCTCACCCACCAAGTTCTGCCAACCTCACAAGTGAACTGCTGCACTGTTGCACACCACGCCTGATCAAGTTGGGATTCCACCCTCAATCCCCGACGATTCAAAATCAACTCAATCTTCTAACCAGAAAAACACCTTGGACCGCTTGGCCGTTGAGCAGACTCAACAGTTCAATGGATAACAACAATAGTCAACCAAAATCCCAAGTTTAGCAGTTCTATACTTGACTCCCAGGTTCGAGTACACATCAGGTAGGCTAGGCCTATAGATTTCAGCCATTTTTGCTGAGTACTCAGGTATTGTTGTAAGCAAACATTCTTGGGTAGAAGCTGTTGGAGCTGCAAGTTAGTTTAACATTAAGTAAATCTAGTATAGGCCTCCTGGGGAGCGAGCTGGCATAGTGCTTAGAGCGCGGGACTTCAGTCCCTGAGGTCCCGGGTTCGATCCCCGCCAAGTCACCAATGGATTTTATCTAAGTGATAATGCCGCAACCCCTAGGTCTAGCCTGAAGTAATGTGAAAAACAATTCCAGGCTTGTGCCTAGCGTCCTAGGACAAAAAAAAAAGTATAGGCCTACTAGGATGTAATTGTAATGAAATAAATCATCTATATACTTTACCTTTGCTCGAAAATGTCTATGAGCCTAGCATCCAAAATGTTTTCTTCTGGTTCCCACGTACTATGCCTGAAAAAATCATATATTGTAAAAACAAGCTCTTGTATCAAAATCCCTTAGAACAAAGGTTATCCCTAAAGTAAATGCAATTGAAAATGTTCTTTCGGCAATTTATGATAAGGTGGGTAATAGAATATTTGTGAAAAAACATAGAAACAAAAAATAAATAATATACACTCTTCCAAATCATTTAAATTTAAAAAAAATCCCCATACCCTCGGCATTACTGAAGTAGACAGCAACAATAAAAACCAACGCACAATGTATAAAAGAAAGAATATAACCTCTATCACTGGATAGTTGAATCTTCCAAAGTAACTGTGCCAATTCATGACCCCATTTCCAACCAACAACTTAATTCTTTAACTAACAGTGAGCGCTGTTTACAGATGAAGGAACGTAAACAAATTTGAATTTTAGTGACAGTTTGCACAACTAATTGTGCTTTGATTTCCCTAGAGTAGTAATTGTAATTTTCCATCTCGAGTGTCATCAATAGACATAGAGGTAGACGGAAATAAATAAAGTCAAGACTCTCTTCATCTTTCTTATGCTATGTACGTAAAACCATAGATAAAACTGCCTTAGTAGATTTCTCATCCTTATGGAACAGCTGAAGACAATTTTATTGTTAGTTCTGTACGGTTTATGTAGAAGTCGTGTTTTGTTTACAATTTGTTTCGCGTTATTACAGTAATTTCAAACTAACCTCGTTTAACCAAATAATACGATATAATCATAAACAATAAATTGTCCCCTAGTTCTATAACCAAACAGTAAAGCACAAATCAAGAAATTAACCTTAAAATAATAGAAAAAAAATTTTGCCGACACTCGACACTAGCGCCCAGTGTCACCGTACTTACAATATTACCTATTCAATTGTAATATTTAAAATGTGTATTGTAAAGTGTCTCATTTTATGTAGTTAGCTATATTGTATCTTACTGTATTTATTAACTGACTATGCTATAAACCTTAGCAGTTGTATGACTTTGTCAATAATTTGTGAAAATTCTAAGGACAATAAACACATTTCATTTCATTTCATTTCATTACATGAACTAGACATAAAAACGTGCTTCAAAATTTACAATGGGATGAGAAGTCTACTTGTGTTGGTTAGTCTATGGTAAAACCAAAATGTTCATAATAGACATCTACTCAATGTGCAGACAAAATTGTAAATTTATATTTAACTTATATATAAGCCTTGACTTAAGGTCAGTGTTACAGTTACTTTGGAAGATATATTGAATTTGAAACAATAAAGCCAGCAAAATAAGACATTTACTTGACAAAATTGTAGGCAGGTACCTACTTACTTTTGGCTCCATCCTTTCCACTTGACAAAGTATTCTGTCCGCCCCTGAAAAATGCATTAAAACATTAAGTTATTGACTAGGTAAATAAAACAAGATGTGTAAGGAGTTTATGAAAGTTCAATCTAGCATTGCTCCTCATGATATAAATAATAAGTAACTTAGCCTATAAAGTAACTAAGGGATTTAATTTAAGAACAATCTATCAAATATTTACTGAACTAAGTTACGTAGACTTAAATAGTGGCACTACAATGAAATTTGAATATGAGTGAGACCATAGATTAAAGGAACAATGGTGAGAGTCCTAAGTCGTACGTTATTTCAGTTCAGCAGCAGCCACATGCGTAACGCTTGTAAGTAGGTGCCGATGAGTCAAGAACCAAATTATGGGTAAACTAACAGCTCCGCAGAGAACCTAGGGCGTACGATATACAACTACCGATATACTCTCTATCGGATAAACTTTCCATTCGATATATATAGGCTAATTATTGATTAAAATATTTTATTTGATGTAAAGTAGGTACTTAACTTAAGTTACCTAAACTTAAACTTTCTGTTATTGTTTTTTTTTATTATTTGTTGTTGTTGTGTGTTTTATTGGCGACAACAAGATGGCGTCAGGTGAAGGCGACGACGCTTGTGGTCTGTGTAAAAAGATGGCTAAATCAAATCAATCTGCTCTTCAATGTGAAGGAAAATGTTGTATATGGTTTCATATTAACTGTCTCAAAATTGATAAAGTTAAATTAAATTTGACCAAATTGAATCGCTTGGTGAAATTGTGCTGTGGATCTGTAGGCCTAGGCCTACTGCTTGCCGGGACGCGATGGATGAAGGATGCAAGGATAGTGCTGATCTACTTCAACTGTTGCAGAAAGCAAGTCATGATGTTCCAGTTTCAATACTCTCAGTTGAAAGTCTAGATGAAATTATGATCCAACTTCTTGATAGTCACGATAAACTCAATAAATTGGTGACAGAACATATTGGTCGATTGTGTAGTGCCCGTGACGATCGCCAGGAACCATTACATGAAGGAAGTAGGCCTATCTCCAAAACCTTTTCTTCGGTCTTAAAATCTGTGCCCTCTCACGTAAGACAATCTACCTATAACTTTAAGAAGAAAAACAACCACTCAGGTGAGTCAAGCAACAGTCTAGTAGCCCTAACCTAGATGCTAACATTGGGCTAGGCCTATGTCTAGGTAGGCCTCGGTAGTGAAGAGGAACACAGACCTAGTGGCAGTGAATGTAATGAAGAGAGTTTACTTGTGTTGTTTATCATCGTAATCCTGGACAATCTCGCCCTAAAATCGTGAAAAGTCCAAAAAAACCCTTCCAGAAATAAATTGGTTTTTAGGAATGGTAATGGCAATGGTATCTTCCAAGCTGTAAGTAAAAAATCGTGGATCTATGTTAGGTACACGATTTCAGGTAGCGACCAGTGAAAGTGATGTGAAAGACTATGTCGAATCATCTTTTCCAAACAGGGCTTAACCCTCCGAGTGTCCATAGTTTAGGCCTTAATGTCCGCCTATTTTTGGCGCATTTGCAAGGTTTTATTAAAACGGATCTAAGAAGCTTAAAACAATGTTAATTCTACTGTTCTATATACCATTTTGTTTGGAAAATCATGGGCTTCAATATTATACATAAAACATAAGGAACATTTGTTTCAAAAAAATTTTTTAGGTAAAAAAAAAAATATTTTGGAAAATTAAAAAAAAATAAGTTCCCACTCAATGAAATTGTATAAATTATAGGCCTATATAAATATTTGAAAATAGCCAATTTGTTCTAAATTTTATGAGGATTACAAATCTATATATATAATACGTGAAGCCGTATTTTGTTAACGCAACTCCTCCCTTATTTGTGGACCAATTTCAACGTTTAATGTGTCAAAAGATTCGTCTCAATATGTAGTTTTGCAATAAGGTTTTAGAACTTTCAAATTTCCACTCTTAAGGGCGTGAGACCCTCTCAAAGGTCGGGTTTTCCCCATAAGAAATACATAGAACAAATTTAAAAACAGCTGTTTATAAAAAGAAACGCATTGGCTTTTTGGGAGTAAAAATTAATGTTTGTAACATTGAGTAGGTTAAGACGGTTAAGGCCAAAATAACAGTTAATCAGTTTAGTTGGAAGAACAGAAAACGTCTCAAGTTCAAAGAAAAAATATTGAAATGGGAGGAGGAGACAATTAATAATAAGATATCGCGTGTGAGGAGAGTAGAAAAAGAGAGGCCTGGTCTAACAGATACCCATCCAGATACACATTCACTTAGTGAGATGTAGTAATAGAGATCAATGAGTGAGATGAATAATATTTGCCAGTTCTGCTAAGCAACTTACTTTAGAAGTGAAAAAAATATACGAAGCACATGTTGTCAAAATGGTAGAGTAATCTTGCCTAATGTCTGATCAAATGAATACATGCAAGAAATGTTTACTTCTGACCCTGCCAGATCGTGATATTTCAAAACATTTAGTAGCAACTATAATAATGCCTTGACAATGATAATTTCAAGTAGTAAGATTATACAAAATCATGGTGGACCTTTTGCTTTTATTGTTAACTTTTGTATTAATTGCTCTACTCCAATAATTGATAAAAAAACCGAAATGCATTGTTTTCTTCTAGGTTATGTTGACAGTTCCTCGGACAAACTTTTTGCCTGAATTCACCAACACAATCCAGACATTTTAAGTCAAAAATAAGAAGTTTCAAAAACTCATTTGCTATTGAAAGTTTTTGGCAATAGGCTATAAGACAAAACACAAGTGAAGGAATCAGTGTTTATGTATTCAGTGTTTATGTATAGTTACGGTCAAGTTTATTTTTCTGATTCAGGAGAGTCAAATAATATACGCTGTTCAAAAAGAGAAAATGTAAATTGCTATCCAAATCTTATTGCTACAAGAGTTATCCAAACTATTTTGACAGACGAATCCAAGCTTTCAAAACTTTGGGACAGTGGTATTAAGAGAAACTCCACTAAACAGCGTGAGACTGACAGACACCACGTTAAAATACGTTAAACAACTTTCAATGGTGTTGCTGCTTTAGCCTATTCAAAGCAGATTATGGCTGTCTAATTGGTAACCAAGTGTTTGTGGGTAAAAATGGAACACATGAATTGGTTGATATTACCCCACTTTTTAGGATTCTCTGCGAATAAAATTCATTTGATTAGGGGGATGTCTCAAATCAAAGAAATAAAATTAGGCCTACCCAACTTAAATTACTGAACACAGGCTATCAGTAAGGCAACAGTTTTCTTCAATTCTCAATGCTGGAAAAACTTTGTTGCAACATGTTAACTCGAACAACTCTAAGTTGTAACTAGAATTACATGTCGTTTAGCATAACGTTTTTCTCGGCGTCATGTTTCATATTATGCGGCTCATTGAGCCGCACGGGTTCTCTAGTATATAATAATATAAGGAAGTAGATTTGCAAATAAATAAGTTATGGGCAAAAAACAGATTTCAGTACATAGCGTTTAGCTAAGAATGCATAGCCTAACCATAGCTAGGAATCTGGCTGATAATTTACATCAATATCACTACGGTACCTACTTCTTCAGGATCATCAACCAGCCCTTCAAAATCACTTAAATCTTCTTATAATGTACCACGTATATCACTACTTTTGATTTTTAACACTAAAACAATGATAAACGTAATAAAACACATCAGTCATCGGTCCGAGGGTAACCTAGCTGTTACAAATACGCACGTCAGCTGTCTGCTACAATTACGATCGGCTCGGAGAACATAAAGCGCTTAGAGACAGATCTCTGGAGAAAGCGTAGAATATAACGAAAAGAACGATAGGCCTACCTAACTCGATCCAGTTCAATCCGATTCAGTCAGTCATAGAGCCTTCGCCATAAACGATGTTCGTGCGTCGAAAAATCGACGCGTGACACTACACAAAGTGTCGCGCGTCGATTCTTTGACGAGTGACGCTCGGAGGGTTAACTTAACTGTGAAACCACAACACGACTCTTATACCCTAATTCGTTTAAAATTGGTGTGCCTTGTGAAATTGTAGATTCCCTGGTGAAAGTTGCACTTTTTGCTGAGTTGTAATGTGCATTTAACTTATTTATTGGTAGGCTAATGTTGTTAAATTAGGGTATCGACATAAACACTTTCTTATAGAGGTTAGCCTACATGAGCCTAGAAGACAGGAACTTAGCCTAAGTCCTAGAACACCTAATAAAGACCCTTATGTTTTAGGTAAACTAATAGGCTGTTTAACTTAGGTCCTATCCTAACAAGCAACTTAGGGCCTAGGCTTGGATAAAGAGATGTAAAAAACTTAAGAATATTAGGTTTAAGCTTGCATGAAGTAGAAATAAAGCATTTAAAACCATTATAAAATTGATTGAGATTTAAAGACATTACTCATAAACTTCATGAAAAGTAGGCCTAGACATTGAAAATAGTTTATTGACTTATGGCGGCAAATGAGACGGTAGGCTAACTTTATAGGCTAGACTACTGTACTTACTCTTCTCGATCGTTTTTTCATTATTTTTTCTGCTGCAAACACTCTGTCGCCCATTGCTAGTTCTTGAAATGTTGACAAGCACAAAATAAAAACTCTGCACTATGGCACTATTGAATAGTTTTCAATAATTGACGCGTATCTCACAACAAAAAACGACATAAACAAAAGCAACTAATAACCGAACAACTTCGAGTATTCATTCAGATCAGATCCAGATCGCGATCGCACCTCCATGACGGCCAATCCCAATTCCCAATCGCGCCAATTAGCTTTAGCTGAAGCTGAATCGCCATTCGCCAAGCCAATGCCTGCTGAATCGAATCCTGAATGTTGTTTTGGTCGTTGCTTCGTTCCGTGCCCCGTCCCCGTTGCCCGTTCGGCCGTTCTCAATTCTCCACTTCTTCACCGTTCCAGTTCCCTCTGTTCTCAGTCAGTCCCAGTTCCCGCTGTTCCAGTACTCTCAGTTCCCCGAGAATACAGTATGGCCATCCTGATATTTTTAGGTAGCCATACATATACAAGATAAAAAAAAAAAAAATCACCTTTTATATCATAACCACAAGAGAAAGAATTATGTCTGATCCTCTCCCTCCTAATAATTCAAACCAATGGTATCAGCATCTGACACACTTTCTCCCGTTATCTAGGTAACAGCCTTTATCCTAGCACATGGGTTTAAATGGTCAGTTTGATTATTTATTGTCGTAATATTACAGCAATGGGGTTTGTACAATTTTACTTATATAGTTATACAGGGTGAATTTTAAATGAGTCCCCCCCCCCTACTTTTTTCTACATTTCTTAAGATATCATCTCCGGACCACGTCAGATCATTGTTGAGTAGTAAGTACTTCATTTTGACTGGGTATACATTTTTGGCCGCCATCTTGGATCCGCCATATTGGATACAAAGTATTTTTTTCAAATGTAAAGGTAGGGTTGTGACCCATTATTTCAAACTAGAATTTTACGCTGATTACAATGCCGCAATTAGTTTTTAAAAATCTTGATCCGTTCTAAAGTTATGAGGACTTATTATAACTTTATTTTTAGCGCATTTTAACATTGTGCATTTACAAACTAAGACCATAATCTCAAAATAGTGCTAGATAAAGATAAGTATACACCACCATTCATTGCCAACATATTTTCACTTGGTTATGACGGATGTAGTTTTTTCAGCCGCCATCTTGGATCCGCCATTTTGAAATGTGATCAATTAATTTAAATATGAAGGTGGTGTTGTGACCCATCATTTTGAACTACTTTATTATACTGGACTCAATGCTGCAATCCGTTTTTGGTTATCAAGCTGTCTTGATGAAATATTAAAATAGTCTTATTTAAAATTTCAATATTTCTAAAACCAAAGATGCAAATGAAAAACGGATTGCGGCATTGAGTTCAGCATAAAAAGGTAGCTCAAAATGATGGGTCACAACACCACCTTTATACTGTAAGTTGTATACACCTTTAACTGTGTAGGTCATACTGTAATTTCAGATCATGATGGTATAATGTTTAGCTTAAACTCATATTTTAGTGTTGATAAGGTGAACAAGCCCAAAAAGTTAGTTAGGCTAGTCAATGATTTTAATGTAAAAATGTTTTTAAATAAGATAAGTCAGATTAATTGGGTAGATGTGTATAGCTTAGGTAAAATACAAGATAAATTTAAGACTTTTCATGATTTGTTTCTGTGGGCAGTGGATGAAGCGTTTCCTCTCGTAACTTCTTCCACTAAGTCCAAAAAAGTAGACAACAAATGGTATGACAGTAGGTTACAAAAAATGAAAGATAACTGTGTATTTGTTTATAGTTTAATTAAGAGTTATGACTGTCATCTGCTTAAAGCTAGGTATAAGATTTTAAAGAAAGAGTACAAAGTAGCTGTAAAAAATGCAAGAGTTAATTATTTTAATGGTTTGATTCAAAACTCAAAGAATAAATCAAGAAAGTTGTGGCAAATCACTAATAGTTTGCTGAACAGTAACTGTAAACCTGCTACTTCACCTGTAGAGATAACACCCAACAGTTTTAACGATTTTTTTGTTGACCATATTAAGAGAGTTAGCAATGGTATTCCGTTAAGTGTAAATGATAGTGATTTTTATGTTTATAAACACCCTAGACCTATGAATGTTTTTAAATTTCAGCAGGTAAGAGTTGAAGACATGTTTTTGGCAATTAATAATCTAAACAATAGTAAGTGTCTACACCCAGTCAAAATGAAGTACTTACTACTCAACAATGATCTGACGTGGTCCGGAGATGATATCAGAAAAATGCAGAAATGCAGAAAAAAAGTAGGGGGGGAACTCATTTAAAATTCACCCTGTATAGTTCATAGGATTATAACTAGGATTGCTTTTACAGCAGTGAAAGCCAGTTGAGCGGAGCGAACACATTTGATGATTTTTATAAAACAATATAAATAAATAAAATGCTTATTGATGTAATACAAAATACAACTATTTCATCGATTAATTTAACTTATTAACAGTTGTGCTCAGGTCAGAACTATCAACATCTATGATGTGTCATGTAGACGTTACACATATCCTTTGTATCAGTATTTTTTCTGTGTTTAATTGCTTGCTTGCTAAAATTGTTTTTATAATATCATCTGGTGAACCAACAGTTCTGGTTGGTTGAACCGACCTTTAACTCCTGCTTTGAGAGAATAGCACAAATAAGCTGCCACCTACCTTATGAGGTTTGTTTTCTTAAATAGGTACATTTTTTGTACTTCTCATAGAATTTTAAGTATTTAAGTAAAGTATTGCGGATACATTAATCTGACTGCAACAAACGGTTCCCAACTTTTAACTTTCTGAGACATGGTTTCTTTTCTTTTTTCCAGGCCCATATTGTATATGGCACACTCCTGTTGGGTCATTCCCTGCATGCTCAGAAAGTAGGCTACTGCTCCATCAAATAAGGCTATCGGAGTAATGTCAGGTTCACTATCTGGAGCATTATAGGCATTTGTTCGCTGAACTTCACATTATGACTGTTGTGAATGTGTCTATTTGCCATCTTTGTTAGCTATTAAGGACATGGAAGAAGCCGAAGAAGAACTTGTTTGCAACAAGGATGTCCACTCATATCTCACAAAAAATAGAACCAAGTACATTTAAGTAGCAACAGATTCAGATTGAGTAAAACTAATAACTGTTTTCCTGTTACAGGCATAAAGTTTTACAATGCTCTCCCAAAGAGTGTTCGGTCGTTGCCGAAGCCTACATTTACCAAAATTGTAAAAGATTGGCTCAAAAATGAATCCTTTTTATGAATCTGTTGAATTTTATGATGCTCTGAAGGCTGGCCATTGTTTTAATTTGTAATTTTATTTATATACTAGGTATGTGACACAATTTTATTTTCTTTTGTTTTTTATTTGCCAAAACTGTATGATTTGCTGTTTTTTTGCTATGTGAGATTATCCAATTTCAGCATGGTTTGTAGTGGTGAACTTAACTTATTTATATAAATTGGTTTGATTTGTTTTTTAGAATAGTTTTTGTTACCTATTGAATTTATAACTGAATGGTATAGGCCTAATAAATCTCTTGAATCTCTCTCTTGAATCCCACACTCAACTTCGCTACCCTAGTACCCCTATAAGACCCCAGCCATCACCTTATATAGTGGTAGCCAAACCATTCAAATGCTACCTCCTTGTTGTCCTGTGCTGTGTACAATGTTAGTTACCCTCCTATGCCTCAACACTCTTCCCCCACCCACCACCCTAGTTCCTCTATAAGGCCCTAACCATCACCTTATACAGTGGTAGCCAAACCATTCAATTGCTACCTCGTTGTTGCCCTGTGCTGTGTACAATGTTAGTTACCCTCCTATACCTCAACACTTCTCCCCCACCCACCACCCTCGTCCTCATATAAGGCCCCAACCATTGCCTTATACAGTGGTAGCCAAACCATTCAAATGCTACCTCCTTGTTGTCCCGTGCTGTGTTATGTTAGTAACCCTCCTATACCTCAACACTCTTCCCCCACCCACCACCCTAGTCCTCATATAAGGCCCCAACCATCGCCTTATACAGTGGTAGCCAAACCATTCAAATGCTACCTCCTTGTTGTCCCGTGCTGTGTTATGTTAGTAACCCTCCTATACCTCAACACTCTTCCCCCACCCACCCCCCTAGTACCCCTATAAGGCCCCAACCATCGCCTTATACAGTGGTAGCCAATCCATTCAAATGCTACCTCTTTGTTGTCATGTGCTGTGTACAATGTTATTTACCCTCCTATACCTCAACACTCCTCCCCCACCCACCCCCCTAGTACCCCTTTAAGGCCCCAACCATCGCCTTATATAGTGGTAGTCAAACCCCTCAAATGCTACCTCCTTGTTGCCCTGTGCTGTGTACAATGCTATTTACCCTCCTATACCTCAACACTCTTCCCCCACCCACCCCCCTAGTACCCCTATAAGGCCCCAACCATCGCCTTATACAGTGGTAGCGAAACCATTCAAATGCTACCTCCTCGTTGTTTTGTGCTGTGTACAATGTTATTTACCCTCCTATACCTCAACACTTCTCCCCCACCCACCACCCTAGTCCTCATATAAGGCCCAAACCAACGCTTTATACAGTGGTAGCCAAACCATTCAAATGCTACCTCCTCGTTGTGTTGTGTACAATGTTAGTTACCTTCCTATACCTCAACATTTCTCCCCCACCTACCACCCTAGTTCTCATATAAGGCCCCAACCATCGCCTTATACAGTGGTAGCCAAACCATTCAAATGCTACCTCCTTGTTGTCCTGTGCTGTATACAATGTTAGTTACCTTCCTATACCTCTACACTCCTCCCCCACCCACCACCCTAGTCCTCATATAAGGCCCCAACCATCGCCTTAAACAGTGGTAGCCAAACCATTCAAATGCTACCTCCTTGTTGTCCTGTGCTGTGTACAATGTTAGTTACCCTCCTATACCTCTACACTCCTCCCCCACCCACCACCCTAGTCCTCATAAGGCCCCAACCAACACTTTATACAGTGGTAGCCAAACCATTCAAATGCTACCTCCTCGTTGTTTTGTGTTGTGTACAATGTTAGTTACCCTCCTATACCTCTACACTCCTCCCCCACCCACCACCCTAGTCCTCATATAAGGCCCCAACCATCGCCTTATACAGTGGTAGCCAAACCATTCAAATGCTACCTCCTCGTTGTTTTGTGTTGTGT